ATTATTGGATTTATAGAAATATACAATTATATTATTCAGATTAATTAATATATTAATTATATATCAATAACAAAACAACAAAATACTCAAAGAATTCAATTCATTTATAATCTGTTATCTGAATGATATCTTAATCTTCTTTTAGAAAAAGAAGAAATACAAAGGATATATATTGAAAGTATTCGAAGTATTTAAAAAAATGGATTCAAGATTCAAACTATTGAAATACAAGTTTGAAATATGAAAGGTAATATTTCTAAAATATATTATTCAATTAAAACAAATAAATATAGATTCTATAAAAACAAAAAAAATAAGAAATTAGAAATGATTTAGGAATATCAAGGATATATAATCCATATTAGGATTTGTCAATTTCTATTGAATATTTATAAAAAACTTCTCGAAAATAATAGAATTTCTTATCGAAATGATCAAAAAAGGAATAACTTTTATATAGAATGAAAAAATAAAATAAGCTTTTTAAGAAATCAAAGACAGATTTATAAAAAAAACTTATCTTTTACAATTATTATGATAATTGAGAAAACATTATTGAAATAGATATTTTTGATATCTATATAATAGAAATCTATCTATAAAAAGATAATAATAGAAAACTATATTTTATTATTTATTATTTAAATAAGATAAACAAAACAGAATAGAATTATAATATTTATGAAAAAAAATTTATAATTATTATAAAAACATTAAAATATTAAAGGATCTATTTTCAAAAAGTTAAATTCTTAATAATCATTTATATTGATTATATAAATCTTCGAACTTTTATTACTATTAAAGTTTTAGATAATTGTAGATTAATTAAATAAACTAAGGAATTAATAGATTTTGATTTAATAATCAAATATATCAAAGGAAAGAATAATACAAAAGTAAATATTTTAAGTAAATTATCAGATTACAAAGATGATAAGATATACTAAAAAACAACGATTTTGAAATCTTTATCAAATGAAGATTTTATTCTTAATTTAACGGAAATCGTTATTATAGAAAATAAATCAATAGAAATCTGGAAAGATAAACTTATAAAAATATAATAGAATAAGAAAGGTATCAAATAATCGGAATTATCAATAATTATTGATAGATTGCTTTATATAAAGAATAACATTAATTGTAGAAATATTAATCTTTATATTTCTAAAAGAAATTGTTGTAATATATAGATTACTAAAGGAAATACTTTTTAATAAAAATAAACTTTTTATATTGAAATTTTGAATTGTTTTAGTAATATTATTAGAAATAAAGAGAAAAATATCTATTATATTCTATTTACAAATCAATAAAAAGAATAAAAGAATGAATTAAATTGTTGAAGTTTATTTTTAATATTATATAAATTATTAATAGAACAATTGAATAGAACTTTTATTTTTAATATAATTCATATATAATAATTCAGTATCAGAAGTAATACAAATTATTTTGAATTATATCAATTATAAGTATGAATTGATTGTATATTATAAATCAAGGATTATAGAAATAAAGAATCAATTTGTAATAATATAAATAGAAAGATTCAAAGAAGTTTATAAAGAAATAATAATAAAATTGAAATTTGTTATCGAAAGAAATATATATTATTATAATCAGAAATATAATCAAGAATCAATGTTAAAAGAAAGAAATAAAGTTTATTTATTTTGAAAAAATATCGAAACAAAAAGATCTAATACAAAATTGGATTACAAGAAACTCGGATTATTCAAAATCAAGAAAGTTAAAGGATCTTTGAATTATAAATTAATATTATCAAAGAATATAAATATATATCTAATATTTTATATATCCCTATTCAAATTAATATCTTTAGAAATATCTAAAGTTTCTAAAATAGAAATCATATCTATAAATTAAGATATCGAATATAAAATGAAGAAGATATTAGATTATAAATATATTAAAGATAAGATCAAATATTTAATGAAATAGAAAGATTATTTTGATTTCGAAAATATATAAGAACTTAAAAAAGAAATTAAATATTTGAAAAGGTTTTAGAAGTTTCGTTAACAAAATCCGGATTTATTCAAAAGGAAAGAGAATTCATTATTTTCTATAAAAAGAAGTCGAAAGAATCGAATTCGTTTGTAGAAATTTTGTTAAAGTTGATAAGATCAATTAGTAATTAACCAAATTGATCAAATTGATCAAATTGATTAAATTGATTAAATTGATCAAAAGGTAATGAAAGAGTTATAAGAATTTCTTTATTCTTTTTTTTTTGCTTTTTTTCTTTGAAAATATCAAGTTGTTACAAGATAACAATTAACCTATCCACATGAGCTTAGGCCTCATCGAAAAACAAAACGATTTGTATACAAATTTATATAATAATCGTCTTATATAATCTCCTCACCCTCAACAAGCTCGGATATATAATCTGATCTTAAAGATTACATGATAAACCCTACATATACAAGAATACGAATTGTAAATTTATACAAATCGTAGATCTATATAAATCATAAATCTATATGAATCTACAAAATACAAAAATCTATATAAACAAAAAGAGTTTCCTATATATAAAAGCTTTATACTCAAGATTAATCATTTAGTATACTCTATTATTAATTATAAATTATAATTATTGATATTACTTTAAAACTCCTGCTTGATATCTAATTATAAACCATTCGAGGATCCAGACCACTTCCACATGATCTAAATCGCATCCCTCGTAACACAAGTTCATCAAGGTATTTGAATTTGCAATATAATATTTCATTATATTATTTTTTGAATTATGTTTTTTGTTTAATAAGATAAACAATTTTAACAAAAGATTTAGTGATTTCAGTATCCAATTTATCGATTTATCGATCAAGATTCTTTCAATTATATTCTCGAAGAATTTTATGATTTTAATTATCTTCTAAACGAAATTCAATATTATATAAAACAAAATTTTATATATATTCTGAACAATATAAATGATATTTATCAAAGAGATCCTTAATATAATAATAATTCTTTTGTTAATAATAAAAATAAAGAATCATTTCAATATTAATAAAATCAATAATCGTAATTAAATATATATATTCCTTTTTCTTTCTTTGAATTAAATTATTGAAAAAATCAGAATTGTTTATAATAAAAGAAAAAAGATAAATAAAATATAAAAAAAGAAAAAATATTAATTATTAAATAAAACTCGAAGGGTTATAAATAATTGAGATAATATTTAATTAAGAAAAGAATAATATTATAATTTATAATTAAAATAAAGATATATTAAAGGATAATAATCAATATATCTATATAAGTTTAGATCTTATCGAAAAGCAAAATGATTTGTATACAAATTTATATAATAATCGTTTTATATAATCTCTTCATCTTTAACAAACTCAGATATATAATCTGATCCTAATCATATAATAAAAAGCTTTAGGAACTTCAAAAGCTTTTAAAACTTCAAAAGCTTTTTGGAGTTTTAAAACTTTATAAAGCTTTTTTATATTCATTAATATATAATCAGAATAGTTTTATAATTTAAAAGCTTTATACTCAATTTAATTATTAATTAATTTACCTATATTCCAATTGATCTAGTAATATATTCATCTTCGAATAGATAATCAATGATTATTAACTTTAACCTACAACTACCAATCATACGAAAACCTGAGGCAGCCGCTGCCTCGACCAGATCGTTACATGTAGATCATAGAAAATAAGAAACTTGTTTAAATGAGTCGCGATCCTGATAATCTGATTGGTCTAAAATACACCGGTAAATACCCCGGTAAATAAATCTAACAAAAAGCTTAGTATAAGCCTTATAACCTCAGACAAATCTAACTTAAAGCTTTTTTCAACTTAACTCAATTGAAATCATTCAAATCATTCAATTTAACTTTATTCATTCAATTTATTTTATTTAATTCAATTAAAAAATTTAATTTTCAATTATTAAAAACAAACTGATATTCTATCTACACTCTAATATATATATTCAATATTTAAATTTATTATAAACTTTTTAAATTTTAAATTTTTACTAGACTTTCTTGAAAAGCCAGAGGTCTAAAAGACATAGGGCCTTAATAAAGTTGAATGATTTTAATAGAGTTAAATTATTTCAATAGAGTTAAAAAAAATTCTCAAGTCAGATTTGTTTGAGATTTTAAAGTTTATATCAAGCTTTTTGTTAGATTTATTTACCGGGGTATTTTAGATCAATCAGATTATTATGGGCCTGCGCCCCCCGGACCCCTGGTTTTTCGAGATAATTTAATGAAAATTTAAAGTTTAAAAACTTTTAAAAGCTTTTGAAGCTCCTAGAGCTTCTTATTATATAATCAATTTTAAGGTTTTTTCTTTTCTAGAATATTTATCTCAGAAGTTTTCTTTTAGAAATCTTTGTTTTAAGATATAATTATAACGATCTGGTCGAGGCAGCGGCTGCCTGAGGTTTCGTATGATTGGTAGTTGTAGGTTAAGGCTTATCAATCTCTGGTTATTCATTTGAAAGTGAATTCGTTACTAGATCAATTGGAATATAGATAAACTAATTGATAACTAAGTTGAGTACAAAACTCCTAAACTATGAAACTATTCTGACTATATACTAATCCCTTTCGGGAGCCTCGAGGAGCCCACGCTCCTAAAGGCTCTATCACATGATTAGGATCAGACTATATGTCCGAGCTTGTTGAGGGTGGGAGACCACATGAATCGATTACCATACAAATTTGTATACGAATTGCCTTGCTTTTCGATAAGGCCTAAGTTCATATGGACAGGTTGACTGTTACCTTGTAACACACTATAATCTTGGATATAGGTGATTTGTGACAATTCCTTCCTATATAATCAAGAATGTACTCCGGCTGTTTACAAATTCTTAAAAATACAAAACCCTCTTTGGTCTCAAGACTTGATCTTCTAATACTATGGCCTTATTACTTCACTAATTTCTTTGCTTGAGTGCCATTATATGAGTAGAGTGGTTTAGTTATTCGGTAACACTTAGATAGATCCAAAATGACCCAGGAAAGAAAGATAGGGAACTGAAGTTAAGTTTAGCTGAGGTAATTGATCTTTGTAAAGCTTTGTATGAGATTTCTTGTAGAAAAACACAATATCCAACTCAAAATTGAAATATGATATGCTGATGAACGCAGCGCTCTCTTGAAGTCATTTCTAGCTCATGTAGTTTTGTCACTCCCACCACTACCATCACGAACACTTGGCGGATTTGGGCTGGGTACAGCATTATCACACCGAAGATATGAGGTGTGCCCTCAGTAGTAACAAATTCTATACCCTCCCTCGCGAGGATTAAAATGGTTTGTGTTAGTGAAAAACTTGGCTGAGCGGAAGTGGGCCGACCTGAGGTTGGTGGCTGTGTGGTACATCTTCACGTCAATGGCTCTCTCCTTTCAATCGCCTGACAGAATTTACTCCTTTTCCTCAAGACTGGTCCATACTTAATGAAAACAAATGGAATGGGACTGAGAGCCAGACAGACAAAACCCAACAAACTACAAGCCCACGCAACACCCAGAGCATCATACATCTGATAGGTTGCCAAGGGTAACAGCAGTGCAGCTGCAATATTTCTGCTCAACACAGATGAAGCAAGAGCAGAAGCCGAATATATGTCATAAGCATCCGTGATGTAGTTATTCAGCGCCATGAACGTAAGATCAATGCCAATGCCGAACACGACGCCTGAAAGAGCGGGTACGGACCCTCGTTACTGTCAGTAACAAAATATTGAAGGTAAGTTGATGTGGTGTAGTAGATGTGCTTACAATGAATACTTGGACGCGCTGTCCATCCCAGCCAGAATAGAGAAATCGCGTAGAGAGGTCCTCCAACGCATGCAAGCGGTAGACGACGATACTCTTCGCGCATAGCCCATTCTTTTCCAGTAAGCTTACTCTGCGAGAGAAAGTGGTCATACCAGAGAAAGATGAACATGGCTATGATGCCACCTACACCAACTGTGATCTAGTTAGTAACGGCTGCTGCAGTAGAATACTAACGAAGACTCACTTGGTAGTAACAGGAGAGCTACCTGACCCAAGGTCATGCCGTACGGCCCTATACAAGATTAGCTTTGGAGCTTCCTGATATGAATGGTAAATACTCACCTTGGAAGATGATCTGATAAGCTTCGAAATAAAGGTAGTAAATGCTGTATTGGTAGACGAGGAAAAGATCGGAAAAGAGGACGAGTGGCTCGGCGAACATTTTTATAGGTCTTGTAAAAGCTATAGTGACGAGATCTTTCATATTCTTTCCAGCAGTGGGTTGCACCAATCCATGTTCTTGTGTTTTCTGCAGCCTGTAAATGATAATAGGAGCAAAGGTCTCTAGGCAAAAGTTCATCGAGTTTTAGCTTTCTGCATTACCAAAACGAGATATTGAGAGACGAACCTGGGAGGAACAACAATAAGGGCCAGTTAGACGCAGCAAGAATGAGAGCAATCCAGAACATCCAGTGCCAGTTCGTGGTAGACGTATAACCCGCAATGATCGGACCAATAAGCGGACCAAAACTATTCATAAGACCTGCCATCATCATTGCCTTTCCACGGTGAAGTAAGTTAGGGTAAATGTCCGAATACATTCCTCCCAGAATATACTGCGGTGCCGAAGCTCCAACTCCCACCAAGAATCGAAAGAGCAGGAACAATGGCCAGTTTGGTGCAACAGCGCACGCTAATGTAAAAATTGTGTACAGGCCAAAGGAAGATAGAAAGCAAATTTTTCGCCCATAAGACTCGCCCATGGGTCCGAAGATGAGAGGTCCAAAGATATAGCCGATCAAGAATACAGCTACTGGAAGTGCCTTTTGCTCTTGACTTGTCACATTGAACGCTGCAGTGAGAGTTTCCAGTGCACCAGTTGGAAGTGCTGCACTGAGACATGTGTTGAAGTTTATGAAGAGGCCAGTTGACACGACAAATAGCTTTTTTCCCTAGAAGCATATCATCAGTGATGCACAGGTAAGTGCCTATGTACTACATACTGGGGACCAATTGTGTGCAAGTGAAGAATGGGAGTTATCGTAGAGAGAGGAAGTCGCCTGAAAACCATCTACAAGCACACCTGAATCCGTTTCTGCAATTGTAGGCGGGCAGCATTTTTCGACTAATGAATCCGACATGATGATACTATGAACAGGATCTGTCCAGTTCTTTTGTTTATACTGTGCAAATAAACTCAAAGAGCAAGTTCGTTCTCTGAGGAATATTGCTCGAGAATCCCAGTCATGGCGAAGCTTGAGAGTATTAGAACTATGAGTGACTCAGTGAGTTGGTGTGTAGACTGTGTTGCAATCATTGTGTGTCTGAAAAGCTTGCTCACCAATCCGAGGCCGTAGAGGGACGAGGTATTTCGGTGCCTCTCTTTCACATTCCCACCATTAGCCATGGAAGGAGAAGACACTTGGCTGCCATTCTTTCACACCCTCATGATAAAACGTGTAGAGGGAAGTCATTTCGGTACCCCTCTTTCACATCCCCGCTATTAGCCTTAGAGAGATACTCCGGTGTCTCAGTTTGTGCTTTCTTGCTTAATACGTAACGTGATCCGAACCAGTGATGATAAGTACCGACATTAGTTGCCGCACGGGTTCAACAACCTGAAGGGTTATATTTCCAAGCGAGGTATTTCTCTATACCACTTTCTTTTTTAAAATGACACGCAGTATTTTAGTGCATCACAGGCATCTGATGTGCCTCAGTTATGCGCCTCCTATCCATGTAAATTTTGGTCACTTTACGCCTTTTGGTGTGGGTTGGTTGTATCCAGACAAGAAAGTGATATGGTGAGGTTACATAACAGTACTAGGGTACATAAGCTGCGTTGACAACCGGTTACGCACGAGCACCAAACAGATAACCTATAGTGCAGTGCAGGAGATGTTGGAATGGGTAAACGAGGTAAATGACGAAGTAAATACGGAAGTGAGTGAGAGGCACAGTAAATGGTAAGCAGGAGTGGTTGAACGTTGTAGAGAATCTACCTTTTCCGTTCTTGTTCAGCAACCAATAACCTACCTATTCGCGCTAAGAGACTCCGATATCCCAGGATTGCCGCCCTAAGAAAGGGTTCGGTCGATGTGTATAACTGTTGTTGGCCGTGATATGACGTTTGGACAAAATTCACAAGCCTTCGATACTTTTTAGACTTGAGTTTGAAAACATCAGGACATCCGCATCCAATTTTATAACATCTAGAAAGAATTGATAAGTTATCGAGATCCGGGTGGGCACTATGTCACATGTTTGTAGCGTTTTAAAGCACGTGAGAGCAGGAGAAACACAAGTACATAACTATCATAGAGAGGCATACTTTGGGTGAAGAATGCTATGAATCCATGAATTTAATTTAATTTGCTAAAGCTATAAAACGACGTCGTCATATATAATGATGCCTATTGGAGAGCACTGGGCGGCCCTTCCATCGTATACAGCGCTGAAATGAGTGACAAATGAAGTTCATACAAATTTAACCGTCTCAAACAGAATGTGTTTGCGAACAATACCAAGTTCAAACCGTGAATGGTTATTTTCAACCCCATCAAAACCCAGGCCTAGATCGCACCAAGATGAAGTTCAAAATTCTAGGGTGCTTGGCTGACAAGACCAACGACTAGGTGGCATAGCTGGAGGCATCCTGATTTACCGCAAGCATTGCATCAGCCTCGAAGTTGGTACGCTTGGTGGCATAGCTAGAGGCATCCCTGCCAACAGCGAGCATGGGGTCGGCTTCAAAGTTGGTACGCTTGGTGGCATAGCTAGAGGCGTCCCTGCCAACAGCGAGCATCGGGTCGGCTTCAAAATCTACCTCAGATTAGTCGGTTTCTCTATATATGAAGTCCAATCTTAAAAACATACTGTTGGAAGTAGTCAACGGTGCTGAAATTGCGAGAGCAGCAAGGCTCATGATCAGGAGATTGCGGAGACTCATGTTGTTGATTGTTGCTGGTGCTAATATGCCGTCTAGCTTCGTGATATTCAAGCGAGATTATGAGGAGTGGATGCGGGGAATGATCGAACAGTTCCTTTATTATTCCTCGAAAATTCTAACGAAGAGGAGCATTTGTATTTAAAAGTTCTATGTACCTGCTTGTTTTGGTATAGTACCCACTTTCAGTACGAAACATAGATACAGACATGGCTTCACATAGTGTGCAAATAAATAATGCTGGACAAGAGAACCAAAAGGGGCCGGGAAAGCTCTTCTCGTTAAGGTGACCACGAGGTTCAGTGTCACCATCCTTGATCTAAGTTCGATATCGCCTGAGAATGAGTAATGCTGGTAAACCAGGATTATGTATTTTCCTGGCACGTTCTGCCCCCTGATACGACCCTCCTGCATAATCTCACGCCGAGTAACTGATATTGATTCTGTACTACACACACTTATAGTTTTACTATTTAGAATAGGAAAGTAGATGCCATCAACCCTGCTTAGAAACTGCAATCAGAGCTGCCATAATTTTTGTAAAATTCCTACGTCCACTTGTAGCCTCATTTCGAAAACTGCATCTTGTCTAGAATATTTTCGGGGAGTATCAAATTCCCATTTTTTGAACTCTATCCTAAATCTACAAATTTACGTCGAGTTGTGACCTTGGAGTTTCACCCTGCCAGGTCTAGAATTTGTGATTCCATTCTACATCAGAAGGCCTTATTTCTCTTATCATAATCATCATGTCGATTTCACGTCCATCTTTGGAGCATTTTGGCTCAGAGAATGATTCTGTCTTCAGCCCTAAAAGATCTCTACTCGAAGAAGACGGTATCTATTCCAAACCAACGGCACTGAGACCTAGCTGGAAGCATTGGATGTTCCACACGATAAACATTACTATGTGGTTTTACTTGGCTGTTACCACGGCTCCAAGATCACCAAGGTCCTGTCTTGAGAAGTTCAATGCTTATTGTGATTGCTCCACACCTCTCATTAGTTTTTACGCTGACTAGCCAAACAAGCACCTATCTTAGAAGCTATAGATGATGATGCTTTCCAAGAAGTGAAGTTCAAGTACTCACTATGGTACAATTCTCCATTCAAAGGTCCACCTACTCCTGAAGTCCAAGAAGCATGGCACGATATCATGAAATGTATGTCATCTTCCGGAAATACTTTTCAGCGCTAATAGTTTTCGATTAGATGGTGAAATCGGGGTGCCCGCATCTGATATTCTTCGCGTCGGACACAATCTCACTGCTGTCCAGTACCCTGCATCCGTTGGCGGCGGTTATCCAGCTATTGCCTCCGGCACCCATGCCCTTCATTGTTTGCATTATATCTGGCAGGATCACTATATTGATATTCTCCCCTCGGTCGCCGAAACCAAAGCTCAGATACCTGAAATGTATGAGCGACATTATGAGCACTGTATCGACTATACTAGACAGTATTTGATGTGCAATTTTGATACAACTATCATTCCATTGTACTGGGTTAGAAATCACCAGCAACCTACGCCAAATGGTAACACAATTCATAAATGCGTTGACTGGGATCGTTTGCAAAATTGGTTAGCGGAGAGAGCTGTACAGATGCCAGAAGGGTTTGAGTGGCGTCAACCAGAAGATGCAGTCAGTCTTGATGACAATCCATGATCGAGATTCAAATTGCAATGTAGATATTATTTAAGATAAAAAATTCACGACTGGCTCTAGCAATGTAACTTTGTCAACAGTAAAAGTGAGAAAGTGATCAAACAGCTTTCAAACGAGAATACTAGCAAAGCACGCTGCTCAAAAATTGTCATCTTTGCTATGATTGATAAGTTGGAAGTTACAATCGAAAAATCTCATTTCGAAGGCGGTCATTCTCGACGCGTTTTGAAATCGCCCATCTCATCAACATTCAATACTACTTCTACAACAGCTCCACGCCCATTCTGAACCTCTTTCACAGCCTTGCTGAGCACACCACTTAGTTCACTAGTTGTAGAAACTTTCGCCGCAAATAGGCTACCCTGAAGGGAGCCAAAATTATCCCCAGCTGCCGCTTTAGCAATTCCGCTATAGTCAGGAGAAGGATCTAATGATATGTGCATGTCTTTATTCGACGATGTGGCACCCAGGCCTGTTGGATGAACGAGTCGATGCGACTGGCGTGGTGCGTTCCACCCTGTATCACATACAGTTAGCATATTTTGAATAATTTCATACGTATCAAAATTAGAATAGATAACAATAATTAGACACTTACCTCTATTGTTGAGCACGATCGTTAAAACGGGTATACCGTATCGAGATGCAGTCCAATAGACACTTCCAGGAACTGTGAAGAGATAGGTTCCATCACCCACGACCTGACAAACAAACTTTGGAGTCCCGGCAGCATCGTATGCTAACTTAACCCCCATCCCCGCTCCACCACTCCATCCCAAGCCGGCACCGGCAGAATTAATCCATGAGCCAGGGATTTCTACTTGTAGTTGGTCCGATAAAGGCATTGCGCACGTCGCAGCTTCGACGACAAATATTGTGTCCCGTGGTGCGGCGGATTTTAGCGCGGCGCCAACGTAATGAATATCGAGCGAGCCATCGGAAGGCGGGGTTGCAAGCTTGGCGATGGATTCCATGCGTTCTTGGTATTTCTTGGCAACAACCTCGTGTCGTTTTGCAGATTCTTCGTCTGCGAGGTTTTCCTTCGCAAGCTCTGAGGTTGAAAGGTACTGATTAATTTGTGTTAAAGCAGTATAACTATCCGCTTTCCATCTCCCTTCTGCGGGGAAAAAAGACAACCCCATTGTGGAATTCAGGGGATCGACGTCGACATGATATATGATTGCATCCTCACGAGGACGATTGCGAGAAGGAATCCATGGAACATCGCAATCCAGAACAAATATAACATCAGCTTCGGTTGCAGATTTATCGAAGCTGAGGCGAAAACCAAGGTATGCAGGATGTGAGGCTGGAAAGCACATGTCACAACCACCGGTGTCTGAAACTTGCAATCCAGGAATCATGTCTGCTAATTTGACTAGCTCTGCAGGACAAGCATGGTTTCTCCCGGAGTACCCGGTAATAATGAGAGGCGACTTAGCATGTAACAAAGCTTCTGCAATTGTTTTGACTGCAGGTTGGGGCAAGGCAGAGGGGCCGATAGGTCCATACTGTCCAGCATCAAATTTCTGAGGCTGAACGGTCTCGGCCATCACTTCTCGGGCTCCGGCCAGATATACGGGTCCCTTGGGATCACTAGTAGCAAACTGCAGCGCTCGTGCAACAGTTTTCTTCACGGTAGACCCCGTACGGAACTCTCCTACGTAGCGACAGTATTGTCGAACGAGAGCTTTTTGGTCTGGGGCATCCTGTAGCCAATGTTGGTATTCAGTTCTTGATCCAGGTATTTCATCGTCCTCAGTGTATGGGCACAGGCCGGCAAATATCAAAACAGGTGCTCGTCCTGTGTTAGCATCGTCTATGAAGACAGGCGGTTCAGTAATTGCTTCTTATGTCATGCCTGAGGATTGTGGGCTTAGATCAAAGAAGCAGAGGTACTCACGCATGGCAGCCCCCAGAGCTTGAGTTCCAACATCAACATGAACAATTACGGCTTGTACCCGTCCGGTCGCTCGGGCCCAACCATCAGCCATAGAAAGCGCAACCATCTTTATCAATAACACTAAATCAGTCTTCAACTAACATTGGACAAACGGAAAAGATAAAATTATATGTACTTCATTAGGACAAGTGTAGATTGTAGGGAAGTTCTTTCTCTTTTCTTTCTGTCCCTTCAACATTGATTCTATTAGACTGGGATGGTCTGACCCAAGATTAACGAAGCAGGCTTGAATGCCAAACTTGCAACTGTTAGTTAATGCTTTGAATATGGAGCAGGCTCATTGCACGAACCTCGCTCAAAGCATCAAAAAAAGCATCAGAAGCCGTGTATGTCACAGACGAAGCCATCGTTGAAAGTTTTGGTGGAAACACAATAGGTGGAATAGGAGGCAAAGTACGAACATGCCTGGTTTGAAAATACTTAGAAAATGTTGGAAATGAACTTCTGTACTCAAACTTGGGAAAAAATGGGGTAGACGCAGTAAAGTGGCGTACAACCACAGACCCAAAAGCTTTCCTCATTGTTCTTGACATGAGAACAAATGTCAAGATCACATGTAGAGAGACTTTTGTCTATAGAAAGCAGCTTAAGCGCGGAAGAATGCCGAGGCAAGCGATGAAGGCGGCAACCATCACATTTCAGGCTATTCAGCTCATCATATGGGATCTCACCGAGTTAGAATAAGGCTATAACATTCGGAAAATAGGCCAGCCGTCAGTTATCTCGCTGTTTTAATCACATCGTAATGACATGCATAAAAATGAAGCTAATAACCGTCTGATGAGGATCCAGAACCTTGTCATTACAAAGCACCCGTGCATACGTTTTCGCCAATTACAAAGCGTATTGCTTGCCCTTGTTCTCGCCGCTTGCTGTTACTCCCAATTTTCTATTGTGAACAATGCAGAGAATTCCGTAAAGAGTACACGATGCGGCGCAGATACAAATGGCCCCCATACAGATAGAATAACCTGTATGATAGTGGGGAGCATCTGTAGTTAAGAAGGAGAAGGTGGCAATGATACCCCCTGCATTTCCAAATCCAATCATCCATGCCGTTCCAATCGCTCTCTCAACATGACCTTGAAGATTCATAACGTACCAGCATACGATCACCACACCTCCAGAAAAAGTACCCATGGCAACTAGGCAGATTCCAGCATACTCGGCAGAAAACGAGTCACGCATAGTCATTAGTATCCCATTACCAACAATTGCTAGCCCAAGGCCCAGCGCAGCGAAGGGCCACCTGATTTTTAAACGATCGGATGCATATGCTACCACAACACAGAGGCCAAGCGCTGCAGCGAAAGGCGGCACAGTATGAAGCTGTGTTTGAATGACGTTGTAGCCATATGTTCTGATGATTGTTGGAGTGAAATATGCGAAAGCTGATATAATATTAGTGACTTTACATCGGGAGAAGAAGCGTTGAAAACTTACAGTAAATTGGAACAACGAGCGCTATAGAAATACTATTAGTCATATACTAGACTATTGTAGGTTGAATCACTTACTTAGGTACATTATACCCCCAAGGACATTTTTGAAGTTTTTGAAGAATCTCAAAACATCATGAACCGTAATCTCGCGATCACCATCCTTTACTCCTACTCTTTCAATCGCGAGCTTTTTCTCCTCTTCGGTCAGCCAGCTCACACTCTCTGGAAAGTCTGATACGAGAAAGAATGAAGCAATGCCAATAAGCACAGTAAAGATCCCCTCGAGGATGAATATCCACCGCCAGTTATGTAACCCTTGTAAGCCATCCATGTTGGCAATAGCGCTAGCAAGAAGACCACCAAATGCACTGGAGATGAGAACTGAGCACCAGTAAACAGTGAAGCGGCGCAATGACTCCTCGCGTTTGTACCAGATGCTGATCAAATAGAAACCTAGAGGCTGTTAGTCAAGCAAGGTTTGACACAACCAATATTAACATACTCCCAGGAAAGATGCCCGCTTCTGCGAGGCCAAGGAAAAATCTTGTAGCGAGTAATCCACTATAGCTTTTGACTAATACCCATGTTAGATTAGACAGTCATGAATAGATAATAGAAGGCCAAACTTACCAAAACCTTGGGCGAACATGACAATTCCGAAAGCAAGTATCGACCCCGATACTAGTTCAAATTAGATGGTGTTACAAAACGGCAGATGTAGGGACCCATACACCATATGTGCGGTTGGAAACGTTTCATGAAAATATTGGAAGGGATCTCAAAAAGTATGTATGGAACAAAGAAGATTGTCAGGGCGATATTGCGATCTACTCCAACAAGGCCGAGATCTTTTGGAAGACTCATTGTCAATGCATTTGATATATTCACTCTATACATAGAATTGGTCAGTCTTACAAAAACGGAACTTGTTTCTTTGGGATCAAGTGCCAACTACCTATCAAGGAAAGCTGCCACATAAATGAGAAACAACATGGGAAGTAAACGACGATCAATTTTTCGGACCAAGGCTGCCTCGTCAATCATCGTAAGAGCGCGCGGCGACGAACTGTCATCACCGAGTGAGTTCGGTATTGCCTCAACGTCATCGGATCTCTTTGGTGTGACATTACTGGTTTGGTCTGATCGTATTAAGAAAGAGTTAGCGAAGTTCACGCCTCGAATGTACATGCAGCACTTACCATCTTTTTCCATTTTTAATATTGCCAGTTGTTCTGGGTGTTCTAGAAAATGGAATGTGAAATTTACTGCAGGAGAACGAAATGGGTGTGAAGACTTCAAATAGTAGTTGGGAACACAAGCTACTAACCAGAATTAGCTGCAGGATCTAGCGTGTCCTATTACCAGTTTGTCTAGGGCTACCTAGATAAGTCTGAGATGCAGGCATGCGCATCTGCAGCAGGACTCGATATACTGTATTGTGAAGAATAGAGCTGATGCTCCCCCACACCAATATACTGCCGCTTTAACCTCCTTCCTGATATGTTACTTACCTAGGTATCTATTATTATATCCATGGATATGAAGGGTGTAGAAGATAAACAAAACATGTTTGATTGAACCGTATTGATTCAGCTTTGAAATATGCATGCTACTCAATAAATGTATGCGCCCCTCAGAAAACCAGACGCAAGTTACTCAATAAATGTATATAATATCCGGGGAAGGTTGCAGCTACCCTGTTCTACCATATGTAATTGGATTCCTCGAACGGAGGCAAGTACACATTTGTAAAGGATTCATCCATCGACCATTATTCATGTTTCATACTAGGTTACTGTACATTTGAGCTACCTTCGTAATCCCTTCTAGACCATACACCCAGAACTCTTGATGCCCATCCGAGGGCGCAGTAATCCTAGAATCATTTTTCGACTAATCTAGTGTACTCTCCTTTCTTCCAAATACTTTGTAGCGGTGTAGAAGTTCATGTGTGAAGTAGGTACTGTGCCTCCAACTGGCATTTCTTCAATGACTTTGAAGAATCTCATCTCGGTGGATTGTTCCCAAACCAGGACATTGCATTGAAGATATCCATTAACCTCAACCCTGGTATTAGCCATGTCCCTATCATCCTCTTTGTGCAACCTCGATGGGCCAGACTCCAGCTACTAATCGCTGATAATAATTCAACATGCCGCTAATCCGTACTACCGTCTCTACCTTCTCTACCTCTCTTTCATTACTGCAATCACATTTTTCCGTTATGGCTCAAGTACCCGCTATTGCTCCACCTGCTGGACATATTGCTTTTGGCAGGGATGAAACACTTTGGAAATGGAATGTGCTTTGCATCTGTGTATGCCTTTCTTTCACAACTATAGGATTTCTACTCAGAACCTATGTTCGAGCATGTATTAGACGAGAATGGGCTTGGGAGGATTGTATGTTTGCCTTCCCGTACAATATGCAATTTTGTTGCTAACGTGTGTCAGATATGACCTGCGTCTCATATGTAAGGCACATCTGATATCATAAGCTTATGATAATCTAATCCTTGTTCTATAGGCCGGTTTCGTCTTGTATTGTGCCCTGATGACAACTGTTATGCACAACTATGGTGGAGTTCATGAGTGGGATTTGACAGTATCTGAGGTTCAAGATGTTGTGTTTGTATGTCGTCCGGAAGCTCCACTAAAATCTGCTTAGGTCGCTAATACTATTTAGTGGTTTAACGTCACTTCAATCGAATACGGAATAGAGATTTTGTTCACTAAGTTGACAATTCTCACCATATATCGACGGGTTTTTGTTCCACATCGCTGGAGCAAGTTTGATATGGTCCTTCGGTTGTTTGAAGGAATACTAATTCTGTTCTACTTTGCCATATCTGTGGTCAAGATATTCGAATGTACACCACGGGCTCGAATCTGGAACAAATCTCTACCCGGAACATGCGTGGATGTGTCGAAACTGCTCAATACCAGCGGCCTCTTCAACTTTACGACAGATGTGCTCATACTGTTGATACCTGTGAAGTCTGTCTGGAATCTTCAAATGAAGAAAAAACGCAAATTGTCCGTCGTTTTGATCTTCACTTTTGGTATGATGTAAGTACCACGCTCTCAAAGTTTTATCCATCATACTAATATGGAATTAGCGCTCCAGTATTTAGCATGGTGGGATTTCTTGTGCGTGAGGATATTAGCAAGAGTCCTGACGTGACATATAACCAGCCTTTAGTTCTTTTGTGGGGGTAAATAAGTATACAATATTGGTTTATGTATGACAGTACTAATATCATGTATAAGGACGGCCGAAGTATCCACCGGCTTCATTTGTGTATGCCTCCCTCCACTTACGATACTGTTCCACAAACAAGAACCACGAGGTCCCTCCCAAAGTATTCTTCATGGCGAGTCAAATGGTGTCGGCGGTTCTGGGCAGCAGAAAACCAAACGCAAACCGAAATTTCGCTCAGATAACGACACTGACCTGTTAACTGGGCAATATATAGAACTTGAAGAAGCGAGTAGCTACACTTTGGGTGTAGAAAAGCCTAACCCTACATACAAGATTGGCGTTAGCGGCGGAGCGACATCATCGGAGCAGAGCAGAGAGGAGATCAACACGTCTGGGAATGCTCAGGACATTATCAAAACGGTTAAAATACACCAATCATTCACTTAGTCTGGCTCTTTGCTTCGGTAAAGTGTGCCAGAAGCAGAAGAACAACCCGGTGTACTTACCTTGTACATGTGAGAATGGGATGAATCAATCTAAAGGAAGATTAGGACATCAAATATCGGCGGAAACGATGTACCACTATGGAAGCCCAGTAACAATCTTCAATTTTATCATTGGGGGCTTCAAGTCGGGGACTTGTTAATTATTTTTCATGTTCCTTAGTTGTTGGTCGATAGTGACAGCGTCGATGCAGGTTGTAACTGAACCTTTCGAATCTCTTTTCGTCGGGATTTAACGTTTACTTGGTCCGAATTTCCTTTGGGGGCAAGAATTTCGTGAGAACTGGAATGATATCAGCTCCTTACTAAGTTTATAGTTCGTCAATAGATATGCAGCAAATAGATGTGCAACATTTGATATTTAGCACAAGGGATGGAGGTGTGGAGATGATAATCCTCGGCTCCTCATTAAATCCCCCGAGAAATTTCCAGAGCCTTTATTCGTTTGAGATGTGCAACAAACCCTCCATTCTCAACTAGTGATCCTATTGCATATAACCTTACATTTTAAAATATAATATGTAATATGTTTTTTAGAAAATTTTATTTAATATATGATAAAGACTCTAAGTAATTCATCAACAACTATTATGTATGTTTCAATTCGATACTGAGAATGCAGAAGATGCTGTGTATTCTGAGAAGTGTGGAGGGGGAGGGTTGGATCAAGTTACTAGTAATGAACTTAACGAAAAGGCCAATGCAAATCTACGGAGTCTCGAATGGTTATGGATGTCGTTTTTCATCCAATATTGAATGCTCTTGGGTTTACTCAGCCTCCAGCTGATTGTAATTGGCCGCACACATGGTGGATTCCTACCGAGTCGCTAATCAAATTCCCTCTTCATGCCGCTGGCTACCATAGTAAATCTTCTATGAAATCGACACTTGACAGAGTTATATCATCTTGAAGCTCCTCTATAAAGGCAATCATTCATGGGCGCCGACGTCCCGTTCTGAATATTATACCTCATACTTCTGCATGCAAAACACTCTAAATGGGGATGTTATCAGCAAAGAGCCAAAGTGTTACGCCAAAAAATCGGCGAAGCGGCTGATGCTCTATCGGAAGCTAGTTATTCTTTAAATGCCTTTAAAACGTTACAGATCTCCTTTTGCAAAGACAGAGATCACGACATTACGGAGCCTTTGCAAATCGACGGATTTTAATCCTCTTGAGCCAGGACCTCGCAAGCAAACCGTTGTATTGCATTTGCCCAATTCTAAAATCTTTCATTTTGCTGACCATGGAAAAACAGATTCGAAGGATCCTTCACAAAGTAGTCTACCTTTAAAAGATGGCTTCCTAACAGTAGCTACTCTTTTAGAAATGAATCTTCGCTAAAAGTCACCATTTCTCGCTTACCTCTCAGCTTGTGGTACAGATCGGAGACGAAAGGTTCTTTGACGAGAGTATCCATTTGATCAGTGCGTATCAACTAGCTAGCTTCCGTCATGTTATTGGTAATTCCTAGGGAGTGGACGATAAATCTTGTGTGGATATGATGAGGATTACTGTCACGATTCACGGTTTAGATTATAGTAGTATTATTGATGTCGGTGATTCATATACCGATTATAGGGAGGGTGGGTGATTTAACTGTTGTTTTCAAGGGGCTTAATCATCTACAAATAGGACTTCAGGATTCCTAGGATAAGTATTCTAGACAATTATATTAGAATAGAAGAAGTGTTCTAGTTAATTGGTTATAATAAGATAATCATTTTAGAGGATATCGTATTCTAGGATTGTAATTCCTAAAGGAAAGCTTCTGGGACAAATGTTCCAGGAAAGGAAAGGCCTTAAAATCAATCATATGATAAAGAGCTTTAGGAGCTTGGAAAGCTTTTAAAGCTCCAGAAGTTTTTTGGAGTTTTTGAATTTTATAGAATTTCTTTTTATTCATTAATATATAATCAAAATAGTTTTATAGTTTAGGAGCTTCGTATTCAATTTAGTTATCAATTAGTTTATCTATATTCCAATTGATCTAATAACGAATTCACTTTCAAATAAATAACCAATGATTAATAGCCTTAACCTATAACTACCAATTATACAAAACCTTAGGCAGCCGCTGCCTCGACCAGATCGTTACAATTACATATGAAGTAATGTGGGTAGAGGAATGACAGATGAGTTAGTATGTTGAAGACTTTATGAAGCTATTAAAAAGCTTTAGAATTGTTAGGTGCGATTGAATAAGTCGTCAATATATAAATAATCAAATAAGAAAATATTATAAAAAATGAAAAGAAAAAAACAAAATCAAAAAGAAGGAAATACAATTTTTATTATCGATTTGTTGATATCAAAACCTTATTGTATATATAATATATTATAATTTACTCGATATAGATTATAAAAAATGAGAAACTCGTTTAGATGAGTCGCGATCCTGATAATCTGATTGGTCTAAAATATCTCAGTAAATACCTTAATAAATAAATCTAATAAAAAACTTGATATAAGTTTTATAATCTTAAACAAATCTAACTTGAAACTTTTTTCAACTTTATTGAAATCATTCAATTCAACTTTATTTATTTGATTCATCTTATTCAACTTATAATAATAATAATAATAATAATAATAATAATAATAATAATAAAGTTTTATATTTATTATTATTATTATTATTAATGAATAAGATGAATTAAATAAATAAAGTTAAATAGAATGAATTCAATAGAGTGTTACAAGAGATGCGATCTAGATCATATAGAAGTGGCCTGGATCCTCGAATGATTTATAACTAGGCGTCAAGTAGGAGCTTTAAAATAATATCAATAGTTACAATTCATAATTAATAATAAAGTATACTAAATGATTGATTTTGAATATGAAACTCCTATATATAGGAAACCCCTTTGGTTTATATAGATCTTTGTATTTTATAGATTCATATAGATATATAATTCGTATAGATCTACAATTTGTATGAACCTATGATTCATATAGATCTACGATTCGTATAGACCTACAATTCATATCCTTGTATATATAAAGTCCATCACATGATCTTTAGGATCAGATTATATATTCAAGCTTGTTAAGAGTAAGAAGATCATATAAAACAATTATTATACAAATTTGTATACAAATTGTCTTGCTTTTCGATGAGGTCTAAATTTATATAAACAGATTGATTATTACTTTATAATATTATTCCTTTTCTAACTTAATATTTATTTCAAGTTCTTATAATCGTTTTTTCTATTATATTATAAGTTTTTTATAAAATAAGTTTTTTTCTTTTTTTTATTATATTATTTATAAGATCAAGAAAATATAAGAAATAAATCAAATTTGTTTTAATAATTGAATTAAAAGGATTCGAGATATTTTTGTATACTTATTACAAAAAACATTTATATTGTTATATTATTATTAAGGAAAATTCCAATCGTTGTAATAAATATACTTATTGAGGTTAATGATATAATATATTAGACTTTATTATTAGAGATATAATAAATATTATATAAAAGTAAGAATATTTAGATTATAAATATAAGAAAACTTTATCGAAATTGTTTTGTTTTAATAAATAATAATACTTTTTTTGTAAATAAACTTTTAAGATGATTTATTGTAATTTAAAAACAATAAATGAATTGAATAAAATAAAGAAGAAAGAAAGATTAGATAAGGAATATATAGAATAAAAGAAGAAGTAATCGAATTCTAATTTATCAATATTTATTAAGGTTAATATGAATTTGTTTGATGATTATAATTCTTTTTCTTTTTTAAGTTTTTCGAATCCTTTTTGAGAAGATTTGGATAATATTGATAAAATGCCTTCAACTTTCTAAAATAATTAAAATCTTTTTTTAACTTTCAAATATTCTTTGAATATAGGAAATCCAATTATTTAATCAAATATTGTAAAAGTGGTAGGTCGAGATATATATATCCCGATAGTACATTGTAAGGAGGGAATTGGAAGAGAAAGCTGAATTAGATTATATTGTAATACATTATTTATAGATAAAACAAAGTTTACAATAATTTTAGGATTGATATTATATAAATTCAAATATATATATATAGAAGATTGATTATTGTAAAAAGAAAAGACAAAAAGCTTTTCTTTTATATCTAACTACAAAAGATTATATAATTAACTAGTTAAAATCTTTATATATTTGGTTTATAATTCCAACTTTCTTATAATATTTAATTTTGTTTTTAATATATTTATAATCTAATATTGTTTCGATATTATATATAATATTTAAATTGATTGATTCGATTTTTATTATAAATATTATAAAAAATTTAGAATTATAAATCAAATATATAAAGGTTTTAATTAGTCAATTATATAATCTTTTATAATTAAATATAAAAGAAGAATCTTTTGTTTTTTTTTTTATAATAATCAATTTTTTATAATAATCAATTTTTTATATATATATATTTGAATCTATATAATATTAACTCCAAAACTATTATAAACTCTATTTTATTTATAAATAATATATTATAATATAATCTAATTCAGTTTTTTCTTTCAATTCCTTTTTTATAGTATTCTATTGAAATATATATATCTCGATCTATTACTTTTACAATAATAACTTATATAAAGAAATCGAATTATATTATTTATAAAATATACAAAATCAATTTATAAAGATATTATATTGAAAAAGAAAATAGAATTAGTTATTTATTGATGAAGAAATAAAATAAACTTTGAAAAAATAAATCTTTCAAAAATGAAAGTATTAAATAAAGAATAAAAGAGATTTGGTATAACAATCTAGTTGAGGCAGCGGCTGCCTCAGGTTTTCGTATAATTGGTAGTTGTAGATTAAGACTAATAATCATTGATTATCCACTTGAAAATGAATACATTACTAGATCAATTGGAATATAGATAAACTAATTGATAATTAAATTGAGTATGAAGTTCTTCAATTATAAAACTATTCTGATTATATATTAATGAATATAAAGAAGTTTTATAGAGCTTTAAAACTTCAAAAAGCTTCTAGAGCTCTAGGAGTTTTCGAAGCTTCTAAAACTCTTTATTATATGATTAGAATCAGATTATATATCCAAGCTTGTTAAAGGTAAAGAGATTATATAAAGCGATTACTATACAAATTTATATATAAATCATCTTGCTTTTCGATAAGACTTAAGTTTATATAAATATATTAATTGCTACTCTTCAATATATTTTTATCTTAATTATAAATCATAATATTATCCTTTTTCTAATTAAATATTATTTCAATCGTTTATAACCTTTCAGATTTCATTTAATAATTTAGTATTTTTCTTCTTTTATATTTTATTTATCTTTCTTCCTTCGTTATAAACAATTCTGATTTCTTTAATAGTTTAATTTAAAGAAAGAAAAAAGAATATATATATTTAATTACAATTATCGATTTTATTAATATTAAGAT